CTGGTATTCGCTGAAGAAATAAAGAGAAAAAATAGGAAAAAAATAATAGTTTGAAGCTCTCCTTGACGAATAGATATCCAACTTATGGGCTAAATTGCAGCGCCAGGGAAAAGGAGCTTTATTGTCGATGGTCGGGGAAGAAAGTGCTATACATTTGCACCCTCGAAAGTAATTATTATTATTATTATTATTAATTATTATTATTATTATTATATTTATCATTATTATTTATTATTATTATTATTATTATTATATTATTATTATTATTATTATTATTATTATTATTATTATTATTATTATTATTATTATTATTATTAAGTTATTGTAAGTTATATGAAGAGCCACACTGAAGAAAAAAATACACTGTGGCTCAGTGTGATACAGCTAAGTAAGAATATATAAGAATAGAAAGTCAGCTAATTACGTAATACAGCAAATTGACATCTGGTTTATTAAACAGTGGTCGTCATGCCACGTGCTGCATGCCACTCATCGGAAGGAGCCTCGCCAAATTTTGTGTCATGGGTATATCTTAGGAACCAGGCTAGGGTAGGTTAGGTTAGGTTAGGGTTTGAGTTAGGTTAGGTTAGGGTAGGGTAGGTCTAGGTTGGGTTAGATTAGGTTAGGTTGGGTTAAGGTTAGGGCTTGGGTTAGGTTAGATTAGGTTAGGTCTAGGGATAGATTAGGTTGGGTTAGGGCTTGGTTGGGTTGGGTTAGGGTTAGGTTAGGGCTTTGGTTTAGGTTAGGGTTAGGTTAGGTTAGGACTAGGGTTGGGTTAGGTTGGTTAGGTTAGGTTAGGTCAGGTTAGATTAGGTTAGGTTAGGACTAGGGTTGGGTTAGGTTAGGTTAGAAAAGGGCTTGGGTTAGGTTAGGTTAGTTAGGTTAGGTTAGGTCTAAGGTTAGGTTAGGGCTAGTGTTAGGTTAGGTACCTGTGGCTCACCCTTCTTTGAATTCAAAAGCCAGCTGGTTAGGAAAGCGATTCCCACATCTAAATACTTGATTTTAAAGGTAGATACTTCCTGCACTTTCTTTAATGTATGTATGTATGTTTTTTTTTCTTTCTTTTTCTTTTTTAGTGTTGTCATCAGTCAAGTTTTTCTCTCTCTCTCTCTGCCTCCCTTCCTCTCCCTCTCTCCCCCTCCTTCACTCTCTCTCCTCTCACACGCTCCCTCCCTCTCTCCCTCTCTCTCTTTCTCTCCCTCTCTCTCTCTCTCTCTCAATCCTTCCCTCCTTCCCTTCTTCCTTCCCCCTTTCTCTGTGAAAAAAGAAACATAAGTCTACGCATGTGTGTGTGCATATATATACATATATATATAGATATATTCACATATATACTTATGTACATATATATGTGTGTGTGATGTCTTTATAAATACGGAACATTAAACCAATTACTTTGCATGTCTGAGTTAAGACATACCAATACTGTCACATGTCAAAATAGAATGATCCAAAAATTATGTCAAAACAAACGTCACCTGCCACATTGAGAATATGACATAAGCCATTGTCTGAATTACACAGGTGTTGTTAATTTAATTTTTTTCGTCCTCAGTACAATAGTTACTGTAGTTTTATCGCATAGGGAATTCGAGTATATTCGAACTTACCGCCATTATCAAAATTTAAACAAACCTGTCCGTTGATAACCACTTCCCAGACCCTAACGTGTGTAACGGTTACTAGACGCTACGGTATTTGAATTCTTTGGTTGTTCATAGAAAAGCAACACTTATAAGAATTTTTTTTGAACGCAAGGCTGTATTATTATAGTAGTGTTATAATCTAGTTTATACAGGTTTTATAAATGTGCTTTGGTGGTTGGTAGAAATTTGCATTGAACGGCTATACGTTGTAATATTACGGAAAGATGGTGGAACGGTTTTTCAAAGGTTAGGGAAAAGTATATGCTGGGGACCGTAGTCTTGTGGGTTTTGTACCCTTTATTGTTTAGCGAAAATGAATCATTAATGAAACGTACCTGACAATATTATAATGTATCTGTGACCAAGTTGAATGAAACTAACCATCTGCTATGTGCTAGAAACTCTTTTCAGTAAGTGTAGGAGTGTGTTAAATGCTGTTTTTTAGTATGTATAAGAATGTGTCTAAACATAGGAAAGGCTGAGGTACTCCAGCATACACGAACCAAGCCCTAATGATGAGCAGTACTGGGAAGATTCTAAGACCATTCGATTTGCACAGCCTACCTTCTGGTTCAACGGCGTCAGAACCCAAGGTCTATATAAAACACATATACTGGCGGTTTGTTAGAATTGTGCGAGGGCCGACCCAAAGAATATTAATATATTTGACATGCATTAATAAAGAAATAAGTGCATATCTATCAATCTAGACATGCATATCAACCGGGCAAATAGATAGTTAAATGTATATCTATCAGATATACAGATAAATATGCCTTTATTTCTGCGTTTGTGTTTATGAAAATTCATTGGGTCGGGCCTGGCACAATTTTACCAAACCGGCCGATAGTCCTTGTCAGAACCTGGCCAATCCCACGCTTTTTAGTCGGTTAAAGTCGAGAACGTGTAAGAATCGTGTTCAAAGAAAGAAAAAAACGTTAACGGGAAATTATACAAATTGATAGATAATGAACAATATGATATATTACATAAATGATGCATAGAGTTTGAAAATATGGTACTTGTAATACTCTCCAGTGTTAAGTCTTTAGCTTGTCGCCGTCCTTTCTTTAGGCAATAATTAAATAATCTATGTTACGTCTAGTGCTAAATATGTGTCATCAATCGAGCACGTGGTATTAGGGTGTTATAATATCGGCTGTCTAGAGAATGTATATAGTTGTATGGTTATATACGGCAAGCCTTGGTGAAATAACCTAGTCTCTCTCACTCAATCTTTCCTATTCAGTTTTGAATTATGTCGTGTTAAGTTTAGAAATACATAACCAGATTTTGACCACCAACGAAAAGAGGGAGAGAGAGAGAGAGAGAGAGAGAGAGAGAGAGAGAGAGAGAGAGAGAGAGAGAGAGAGAGAGAGAGAGAGAGAGAGAGAGAGAGAGAGAGAGAGAAGGAGGAGAAGAATAAACGCTAAGCCAGTAAGTAAGTGAAGATGAAGCTCCTCGTTTCAAAAATCTCGGGAACACTCTACAGAGAAAAGTTACTTATTCAACCCCACGTATTTCCGCCGTGACCATTGCCAAGAACCAAGGATTAGTGTAGGTCTTGCTGCTGTCAGGTTGGACCAAAGCGAAGGGGGGGAAATAAGGTCAACTAAGACTCGAGTTATGCTGTGAAGGAGTAGGTAAAATGGAATGATTAAAAAGAATGTAATTGTAGAAAGTGTGGAGACAAAACAAAAAAATATACCAGCATGGATTAACGTTTTTCTAAAGTGCTACTGTTATTATTTTTATTATCATTATCATCATCATTATTATTATTATTATTATTATTATTATTATTATTTGATAATGCTTTATCATATATAGTTTGGTTAGTACATTGGCTATCAAAAGAATTACTTTCATACTAATTATATCGGTATTATTGGTTTATATCTTACTTCTAGCAGAAATAACTGCTAGATTAACAACCACTTTGATGAGTGCAATAATCACCTTAAAATGAGAGGAGGAAAAAGGCATTCCTGGTTTAATTGTTGTTTTTATCACATTTTCACAAACCATTTTTAGAAAATATAGTAAATACGTAGCATTCCTCCGCCACCTCTTTTTCGCACATAAAAGTTAAGTGTGTCCTCTTACGGTCCATTTTCTTTGGCAAAGATAAAAAGAAAACTTGAACGCGAATTCTATTTCAGGGTAAATTCTTTTAAAATGGTTTTCGTTCTGTCAGTTTCCTGTTTGGTAAATAAGTGAAACTACGGAAATTAATTAATCAAAAGCAGTAGAAGAAAGTCTGATATGGCAGGAAAGATTTGCGAATTTTGTTATGTTCGTATCCGTTGGTGCGAAAATTAATGAAAAAAAGAGTGGCATACGTGTGTGTGTGTGATGGTGTGTGCGTGTGTGTGGTGTGTGTGTGTGTGTGTGTGTGTGTGTGTGTGTGTGTGTGTGTGTGTGTGTGTGTGTGTGTGTGTGTGTGTGTGCGTGTGTATGAGAGAGAGAGAGTGCATGTGTGGGGTAATGGGTGGTATATGTGTGTGTGTGGTGTGGGGGTGGGTGGTTATGTGTGTGTGTGCGTGCGTGTGTGTTTGTGTTTGTTTATGAATCTGACAATGAACAAGTGAATTTCAATGTCATATCGTATTCAAAAATGCATTAGTCATCAAATACCACAGTATATACTATATGACAAAGAAGGACTCCTTTTATTTGAACAAATACCGGTTGAGCTTCCCGGCTCCGGAATTTCTCTGTGGTCTTAGGTTAACTTTTTTTTTTATTTATTTATTTATTTATTATCATTTTTTTCTACATTTGCAAGAAGCGCTGGTTCTCTTTCTTTCAACACTCATTCATATTTTTGAATGATCCTCGTGGATTGTTGTTTGTTATTATTTGCTTATTTGATAGTTATTTGGTTGTTATTAGTTATTTGGACTTGTTTGGTGATTCGCATTTTGAAGTTTGAATGGGGGGGGGGGGTTAAAAATTCAGCCCAAATAATACCTGTTCGTTAGTTTGTATGTTAAAAAGTTCAGCTGAGCATTCCCAATATTTTTTTTTTGTTTTGTTTTGTTTTGTTTATTATTCTTTTGAAATTAATTCGCTATACTAATAGACATTTTTAAAAGAAAAAAAAAAAAAAAAAAAACGTGTTATATTCTAACCGTTCATTCAAAACAGGATTTGTTATAATGAAACCATTATCTTCAATTTTTTTTTTACTTTCTTAATTTCTTTCCCTCCCCTGCCCACCTCCCTTTCTTTTCCCAATTTACCTAACACGCTTGAAAATAACAAAAACAAAAACAAAAAAGTAATTACATTCTTCCTGCTATCATGATTCCCCCGTTTACTTAATCTTTCTATTTATTTCTTCCTCCCCAGTTATGATTAAACGCGAGGAATTTGAATAGTTTTGGGCACATGGACAAGAGGTCACGTGGGATGGCGTGCAGGACGACCTCGCGAGTCAGTGAGTTGAGTGAGTGCCGTTGGGTGGCTTTTGCAACGCCTAAATGTGTTCATAACAAAGATACTGTTTTATGTTTTTTTTTCTTTTTTTTTTCTTTTTCTCTTTTCTTTTTTTCTTTTTTTTTTTTTTTTTTTTTTCTTTTTCTTTTCTTTTATTATTGTTTTCTTATTATTATTGTCTTCTTCTTCTCCTTCTTCCTCTTCTTCTTCTCCTTCCTCCTCTTTTCTTCTCGTCTCTTCTTCTTGTTCCTCTTCGTCTTCTCCTTCTTCTTCTTCTTTATTTGTCTGCTTATTATTCTCTTGTTTTTCAAGACACGTTGACACGTTTTTCTTAATGGCTTTTTATTGAAAAGAATGCCCCTTGTGTGTTTTTTTTCCAGATCTATTAACAAAAGTAAATATAATCAAAATGAAATTTATCCTATTTGAAAAAGACGACCAATCATCCAATTTATATTCGAAATACAATAATAATTCTAAATACATTTTTTTTTTTTTTTTGAATTTTACAGTTATGTCAATGATATGTTCGGGAGTGAATATGCAGAACATTAATTAAAATATTATCAAAGTTCATAATGATAGTGAATTGTGATGGTCATTATAATACTGGGAGTAGTAGTAAGGTGATTTTTAAATATAACGAAAGAAATAAGTGAGCTAATAAATAATAATAATAAATAAGATGTAATGAAATAATGTAATAAGATGTAATGAAATAAGATGTTATGACGTTATGTAAAGTATATTATTGACAATAGAGATATAAAAAGTGTTAAAATAATATTAACAAAATGAGGATAATGATTATGAATTCATTATGATATAACAACGATGAAGGTAATAATAACAACGCTTGATAACTAAACTGACACTTAATTGATAGTGACAGTAATGACAGTGAATCCTGATGATAATATTAATACAAAGTGTGATGTTATTAACAGTAATGGCGAGTGTAGACATGATTGTAAAGCTGATGGTAATTATAGTATTAATTGCACTAATGGTTGTTGTGACGATGATAATAATAGCAATTTTTAATATAAAGAGTAATGATCATATGTTGATAATAATGATATAGTGCTTGTAATAATTGATGAAGTGAATGTGATAATAGACATATTCATGGTGATGTTAAAAGTGATAATTCCTGATAATGTTGATAATGACCATGATACAAAGGAAAATGACAATAATTAGAAAAGTGTCAATAATTTTAGGAATGATTATGATTAGCATTATTACAGTAATGATTATGATGATAATTACAGTGAGTGCGCATGTAATGACAGTAATAATAATGAATCAACTTGCTATTTACTTATTATGGTAAGAAAATCTGTATCAAAACAATGAGGATAATGACATTTACATATAGTTGGTTTTAAAATTAAATTCCTTAATGCCAAATTTACTCATTTTAACTTGGGTGACTTTTTACCGCTTCGGACACGCCAAGTCCAACGGTTTTCTCAATCCTGGAAATATTTCTGATGGGTTTCTTCTATTCTCTTTTTCCTATTTATTATGTATTTATTGTCATCGAATTATTCATTTTCCGAGATCACTACAGTTGGCCTCTTCGTGTTCACATATATACTTCTTCTTCTTCTTCTTTTTTTTTTTTTTTTTTTTTTTTTTTTTTTTTTTTTTTAGGGGGGGGGGGGCGGTTGACAGACAGTTCGACGTCGACCACAAATTCACCGAAAGTGACGAAAAACTCTTAATATTCTTAATATTTGAACTCTTGGAGGGAAAAGATTTCGAAAGTAATGAAGAACTGTTTATATTCTTTATCCGTAGTTGAACTCTTGAAGATAAATGTTTCCGAAAGTAACAAAAAATTCTTTATATTCTTTATCAGTAGTTGAACTTGTAAGGGAAAATATTTCGAGAGTAACGAAAAACTCTTTATATTCTTTATCGTTAGTTGAACTCTCAAAAGGAAGATTTCGAAAATAACAAAACTCTTAATATTCTTTATCAGTCGTTGAAGTCTTAAAGTGAGAAGATTTTGGGACAGTTTTTCAGAATTAAAAAGACTTCTTGGTTATGTGTGTGGAGAGAGCTAGGCAGCTAACTTAGAAATGGATACAAGCTTCCCTGGATTGAAACGAGGATGTAACTTTTTTTTTTCTTTTTCTTTCTTTTGACGGTTTGGAGAATTTCTGTCAGGCCTTATATTATCTTTATTTGATTATTTACAATTATTGCATTATTTATTGATGATATTATTATTACCATAGCATCCTTGTCATTACAATCAACATCAGTATATTTATCATTATTACCATTATTAGTAGTAAGAGTTTTTGGTATCGCTATCATAATTCTAATCATGGTTGTTTATGACGAGTTATCCGAAAATATTGTAACTATAGAAAATCTCTCGCAAAATAAGGTAAGTTATGACATGTAGTCTTGTATGTAGTCTTTTAGAATAATTTGGTGTATAAATAAACCTGGAAATGGAGTCCTCAGGGTTGTCAAACGGCTATTTACATTTGGTCCGCACAATATACAATCATATTTGACCTCTCGGAGTAAGTAAGTGTGACACCTCTGGCTTCTGTTGGTCTTGCACGGGGCTAACAATTATTCCAGTACAGTCAACTTCATTTATTCTGAATTGAAGTTTATATGAAGGCGTGGAATGATATCAAATGAGAAATTTTGTTTGAATTTATCATTAGAATTGCCAAAATCGATCAGAAAGTATATTAGACACATGCACATGAACGGTATTATGAATAATTTGCATGCTGTAGATTCTATATCAAATATATCTTCGTAAATAATATATACTGAAACTCGATTAAAACCACATTGTTATTTTCCTTCCTTTCAGGGCTCAGAACTGGAGAGTAACAGGGATGTGGTCACCTCTTTGGCTAGAATGGAAAGCAAACACAAGAAAAAGGGTGAGGCCGCAGTGGGCGCTGGCGGTAGCAATAGTTCTGTTTCTGTCACCAGTACACACACTTCTGTTGACTCACATACTTCAACAGTCTGTTCTTCGTCTCTCACCTGCTCAACAGTCACAAGTAAGAAGGAATTTCTGGATGGGAGACTTACACAAACCGGGGCTCAGGACACCTCTCGAAATAACTTTGACCAAGAGGGAAACAGAGGTAATGTCAGGTTAGAACGAACGGCAGGCGATGGGACGCAAGTAGGAATCAGTGACTCAGGACGAGCGAAAAGCGAAAGCAAAGATGTCGGTGGCCGAGGCACGCACGCCTACCCTGGCGACTCACCGCTTAGGAAATCCACGACCCCCTCAGGTACGCCCGAGAGCGTGTTGCGAAGGGCCCAGCACGGAGAGCCTGGGATCCAGACTCCCTTTTCCCCGCTGCGGTGCGAAGGACAGACGAACGCTGGCGAAAGGATTGGTGCCACTAAGACGAGTACTGCCCCCTGTGATATGGCCAAATTATCTAGTCAGTATGCAGCCCGACAGAAACAGAAATCCAATGGCTTTCTAAATATATTCAAATGGTTTAGAAATCGAGACAAAAGAAGGTTTGGTTCTGTTGACAAGATTAGCATTAACAGCAGTGAAAGTCTTAGTAGCTTGACCAGTGCGACGAGTAGTTTTGCTTACATACCCATTATGAGAAGCAAAAGTGCTGGTAACCAGAAGGAAATTTTAACTCCTTGCAGTATACAATCTCAGGCTGTTACTTCGCGCAAGTATAAACTCTTTTCCAAAGAATCTTCTCTTAGCAGATTAAAGTCAGACTCTAAGAGAAACAGTCGAGTCTCTGCCATAAGTGGTTCATCCGTCGACTCATCCGTGAGAGAAGGCTCGTCAAGACCCTCATCCATGCGAAAGAAGAGGCCTGCGCCTCAGCCACCTGGTTCGCCCAAGTCAAGCGAATCTGGATCCATAAAAAGCTACACCAGTTTGCCTTCCAGGGACCTCATACCGGTTACTGGTTCTACGGCAGATGTTCCGGAAGGGAGGAGGCTTCAGAAGTCAAAAAGTGAAGGGCTGATTTGCAGAAAGACTAAAAGAAGAGCACCGCCTCCTCCCGTGCAAGCAGTCGCTCAGAGATTTAAGGAAGAGAACCAAGACAAAAGAGCAGAATCAGAGAAAGGGGTGAAACTCCACTCTGCTGACGGGTCTAGTTCAGGTGGTCGACCAACCGATAGTGTTTCTAGCACCAGTTCATTATCTCAGTCCTTGTCCTCAATTTCCACACTTCAGTCCCACAGCAGCAGTGCGAATTCTGCTCTCCACAGTACTGTTAGATCTACATCTAGCTCATGTGTTTCTGATGACAGTAAATCCACTCTCACACCTCGTCCTTGGTATAAGAGGAAAAAGAAGGAAAATGACAGCAAAGAGCCCAAGACGTCAGTGAAAAAGGAAAAAGTCTACGATAGTTGGATGCCTGAAATCCAGTTCTCGCGGAAGCTGAACCTAACGGGAACTTTTCAGAAAAACAAAAATAAAACTGATGCCAAAGAATCTCCCACAAAAACAAAAGAAGAGGAAAAGAAAGAAAAGAGGCAGTCACAAGTCTCTCTGTTGGCAAGCATAAGTGAGCTGGACAGAGCTGCTTCGGAACAAATGCAGCGGGAATTAGAGGAAAAAAGGGCGCAGAAAGCTGATTACGATAGTAAGTTTTACAAGGCAAGTGAACCACGTATTCTCACACAAAGGGATTTCTTGCCCGGACAAGAACACTCTGCTTCAACTGGCCAAGAAGAATCTGGTCCTTCAAGGCTATGGTATGTGGGAAGAAATGAAAGCCAAGACAACTACCCTAAAAATGAACCTGTCGGTACGCTACCTGAGAGCTACTCCAAGCAGTCTACGCTCAGAGTGGAGAAAATTAATGGTAATCATTCCTTAGACGACAACTACAGTGGGAACGATTTATTCCCCCTGGATTTAGAAAGTCTACGAAATTCTTTGGAGTGTGATAGTTTACCTGATCTATTTACAGGCAGTCCAGAGCCACCTAGTTCCCCTGGTCGAGCGCGGGAATCGCCCTTGCAGAGAGCTGTCATTGATGCCGAGTTATTCTATCAGCTTGCCAAAGACTCGAGAACCTCTGTTGACGTTAAGCCTAAAAACTCGCCAAATGCTTTACGCCGCGTGGAAAACCGAAAGCAGACAAGGGGCGAAGAGAGTGAAGAGGAAAACCCCGGGCTGGACTTATCTGATGTGTTTGGTCCTTTTCGCAGACAGAGCAAGAATTTCGGACTCAGAATGAACAATTTCTTTTCCCCTGATGTGTCTACTATTCTGGAAACATCCGAGTCCATGACATCGACTGCGACAACACCAGGAGATGAAATATACGAGGATGTGTCCATGCCAATGTCGGTCGCCGGGAGAAGGAAAACTGACTCCTTGCACGAAGAGGCGATCAGCGAAGCGAACTATGAATTCCGGCTGAATTCTTCCGATGCCAGAGAGATCATACAGGAGATAGCAGACGTGCGAGAAGAAATCGAAAACATCAGAAAACAGGAAGAAGAAGAAGCTATAAGATATTCAGATAAGAGGAGAGCAAACAAGATAAAAGCTGAATTGTCCTTTTTCAGAGACAGAGAATGCTTTGATTTCTGGCAGGGCAAAGCAACCTCCGGTAATGTGCCGC